TGAAAAAAAAGAAATAAAGTAACAACAAAAAAGAATAATCTTTGATAAGAGACATTCCTATTTTGTACAAGCTGAATAAACATACTACAACAGAACCTTTACTGATAGGGGAATTCGGTCGTCATGGTACAGGTTTAACGCCCCATTCAACATTGCAAAGTCCGTTAAAGGGCGAGGCTTCCGAATTCAACGACCATCTTTGATAGGACATAGCTAAGTTGGTGGAGAGCCTTGGAAACTCCCCCAAAACAACCAGTAGAGGATTCAAACCAGTGCTATCTGCTCCAATGTCAGCATTTTACCCACTAAGGTAACGGTGGGCCCATAGGGGATGTAAAAATTAAATAGACAAACTTTGATAAAACATCCATGGCATTTTATTGTTGAGCAATTGAGGATACCGAAGAAGATAATTTCCTCAGTGATCCTAAATTGTGTCGATGGAAAACACACTTTTTTGTTTAAAACCTCACCGGGTGTGCATTTCTTCGTCTCACGATGGTAGAGAAAGCTGTAGCAGTTTCCGAATGTGGCCAGGCAGGTCATGGCACAAGAAACAGGTGATGACGACGTCCAGGTTTCTCCTTGGCGAACTATACCTAGGCCTTTAGCTCTGCTTGGCGAGCGTATAAATGCCCGGTTTCTCACCTGGATCTGGGAGGTAGGTACAGCTGGGCATAGAAAAAATGTGGAAAAATTTGAACTAGCAGATCTCAGGGATACAGAACACAGCTGCTGGCAGGAGGTGGAGAAGATCGCCCAGAACAAAGGCCCCCTCTAGGCGGTTCCAATACCAGGGTGAAAGAGGTGAATGATGATGAAGATGGTAAGGTAAAAGTCTTGGACCTCAAAAGTTGTACACCGGTTGTTAAATGTAATGTCGTTATTGTATTCTTATGTGTATTTACTTCAAGGCTTATTTATTTTGTAAATAGTTTTTAAAAGCAATACCGTTTGAGCCCCACAAAAAACACGCATCTTTTTAAAATCTTTCCTGTCAGTTCGCTGGCCTTATGTCTAAAACCAAAGCAGCCGAGGATGTCATTTTCACAAAGAAGTGTAAACTGTTGCTGAGTGTTTGGTATCTTTATTCCTATCATGTGGGTTTTGACGTTATCAATGTCATCAGACGTCTTTCCTGAAATTATTCTTCTTATGATTTTCGACTTGCAAGAAGGAAATGTGAATTATTTTTAATGTATGTGTTTGCACGCCCCCATCGACACAAGTTGTATCATTTAGGACGCAGACTTCCGACCCTGCTTGTCAGGGCCAACCCTGGCTGATTGGGATACAATATCCCAGCATCAAGACCGAGATATTCGATACAAATTTCTTCCCATTCGGTAATCAAACTCGGGTCTTCTGTGTGCAACAGCGAAGCACATAGCCGCTCTACACTTCAGGCGTGAATTAATTCCCCACTTTGGAATGACATTGTGCAGTGCATTTTCGTCAATGTGTTTTGGTGTATTTGCCATTCAGCTTGGGTTGGCCTTGACAAGTGAATGCATCATCAAAGAATGCCTTTGCAAAATGCTGTTCAGATAATAGCAGCTGCCACTCCCCCCCCCCCCCCCCCCCCCCCCCCACCCCCCTCAGAGCCCAATCCCAAAATCATTATTTCGACAGGAGGGGGGGG